CCTTAGTTCTGATAGGGTTGTGTCACAAAAGCTACTTCACCAATAAATAATAATAATTGAGTGACAAAATAAAAATAAAAATTGTACATTGTAGTAATATACGAAAAATCACAACAGTGTAATTAAGAATAAAAAGTGTTAATTTTCTATAATTTAGTGACTAAAAGTGTCATTTTTATACTTTAAAATTAGATACCAATCTATTTAATTTCAAAATTGAGATTTAAAAGTTAAAAATAAAATAATCGGAGAACTAAAAGTGAAAATAGTGAAATAAAGACTCTGTATACTTTAATTTTATGTTTTTCATTTCTCTAATTTTCTTTTCTTCAATTTTTCATTTTTCATTATTTTCTTTTTTCCAGTTTTTCAAATATACATCTAAACATGTTTTCCTATTTTTTAAATTTATTTAGTTACCCATTTTGTATATAAAAAAATTAAAAAAAAAAACCGATTAGTAAAGACACTAACCTTTAATATATGCTAGTGTTGGATCTTGTGATGTGACATTGGCCACTTGAAGTCAATGGCATACCAAACAAAATGAGTTAAGATTCATTGATTATTTATTTACAATATATTGCAAAATGCGTTAGACACTAGTCCGGCGTCCGGAGTGCATCTAGGTGGGCAGTGGCCTAATAATTTAAGTATATCGTCTTCACTTTTCTCACTCAGGACTATGAGTTCTTATATTGTTATAATCCCCTAAACTAGTGAACTGCATATGTTAGATGGTTAGTTGAGCATATGACTGGAGAAATATAGAAGAAGAGTAGCCGAGTAAACAAAAAAACCACTCGTTCAGTTGAGCGCCAACTCGACCGAGTTACGCTCCGACTCGGTCGAGTTAGGCGCCCGACTTAGCCGAGTTAGGCTCTCAACTCGGCTGAGTCGGTGCCTAGGGTGCCTATTCGGCCGGTTAGTCGGTCAGCCGACTAAAAGCCGCTAAGGACTGAAATCGTCTCGGGCTATGAGCGCCTAGTCGGCCGCCTAGGCCAATTTTTACAACATTATTTATTTATTACAATGGCAATAATTGGTCAATTTTGTTAGGATTAGTGGATTACGAGTATATTTAGTAATTCCGTTAGGGTTAAAGAAGGAAACATGGGTATCTTGATCTATTTAATTTTAACTTAAAATTAAATTAATCATATTTAATAATTTACAAAAAATAAAAAATCTTAAAATTTAATTTATCTATTTTTAGATAAATTGAAAAAGTTGCATTTTCATCCCTATTCAATTATTGCTTTTGCAAAATGCGACACTATAGCAGACTAAAAGAAGCATTGTTTGCTAACCACTTATAGTATTATTACTATTTATAATTTACTGCTACTACTAGCAGTAAAACCTTGCCACAGAGAGGCCCCCATTTATATCTTCCCTCGTACATTATGGTACTGTCCTAAGTATGTGCTATCTACCACCTTTATAAAATTTATGAAGATAGAAGCAATCTCAATTTTTTCATTTGACTATTAACTTGGTAAGTATAAGATTATAAGTTTAATTTCATTTGACTATTAACATAATTAATATATATATATTAATTAATCGCACTAATTTCATATTGTAATTGTAGTCTAATTTAAGTCGGTTTTATTTTTTTAATACTACTGACTTGTTACATTGTAGTATCTGTCCATACATATTTTCTCAACCTACTGAAGCACAAAGAGTCAATGCTCTCGCAGAAGCACAAAAAATGGAAACATTGAACTACAATAATTATTTCATGAGATCTAAGGGACGTGAAAATGGTGGCAGAGATTAATAATCATTAATCAATGGCTGCAGCTGATGCCTGATGTACGTAGTGAAAATCTCACAGCTGTAGCAAAAGTTGATATCAAGATTGCAACATCACATAATTCTCCAACTTCTCACTTTCCCTAAATATGTTTGGTAGCCCGTCTCACTCCTCTCGTACATACCCAATTTTTATTTTTTATTTTTCTATGAACAAAAAGATAATAATAAAATGGTACTGCAAACTTGCAAAGTACTAGATCATATTTTTCACATACTAATAATGGTTGGACTGAAAAGACTATAATTTGTTGTCAAATAAAAATTTTAGATCCAATTTAAAAATCGTAAATATAGTTACCAGACCAGTATAAGAAGAAACACATTAAATACAAAATTCAACAACGAATCGGCTACTTGACACTAAACGTGAATGTGACTATTAGGTATTGGTAGATCGAGAGTTATCTTAGCATAAAAAAATGTATATATGAAACAAATTATACACGAGAACTTAACACTAGATACTAATTGAAACTTGAATTTCATGAGATTTTTCATATACTAATAATGGGGCCATCACCACCCTCAAATCGGACCGAAAAGACTTTGATTTGTACTCAAACAAAATTAAAGTTTCAGATCTAATTCAATTCAAACACTATGAATATATATAGCAGCGAGCATTAAAATTAAAGAAACACATTAAAAACACGAAATCTAACACCAAATCAACAATGTACCTTCAGATCATTTAATATTTAACGCGAATTAAATATCGAAATCAACCAAGAGTTACTGAGCATTAAAAAAATGTGTATATATTGTTGTAGATATTTATATAGAGATGGGGTCTGTGCATTGATTCCTGTGTAGGTGCACATATTAAAAATGGTTAGGAAAAAGAATCCACACATTTAATGCCCCTCATGGGGGTTATGGCCCTCATGAATTTTAACCCAAATTTGTGTATCTTCCTGTTTGAGCAGTACAGCTGTAGGTGATGAATAAGGACTATCCATAAATTGAACATCAGTAATTCTGGTATACATTTGATTCAGATGTCGGTACGTGAACCGTACAACAATAAAACCAAAACCAAGATAATAATATTTATTATTATTATTTTATTATAAGTTTTAAAAAAATAAAATTAGGATGGTAATATTGGAAAAGTGTAGTCTGGCCAAGACCCACCACATCTTTCTCAGTCCCTACCTGTGGATTTTCCCCTTGACTGATACAGTTTTTACCCCATTTATTTACTATTTTTTACTCTCTTTTTTTTTTTTTTTTTTTTTGGGAATAATGATGGGATCTTTTATCATGTACTTCATTTTAAGGGGTGATATGTTCATTAATAATGGGAATTTAATTAATTTGTAATTTGGTTTTTTAAGTACTGTTGATTCTATTACATTGGTCATTGTAGTATATGTCAGGATCGAATCTGTGATATCGCATTTGGAAGAGTCACAGTTATACCGCTCGACCATAAAGTTGGATTTACTTATTTGTGGATAGTTTTAGAAAAAATATTGAGAATTTAAAAAGAATTATAGAAAGATTAAAAAAAAACATAGAATGTATTCAATTATTGCACTATGTTTCTGAAATGAAAAAGGAAATTTTATTTATCATTTTTCCACTTTTTCAGTTCATCTTTACTTTTGGAAAATAATGTTGATGAATTCCTTATGTTAGTACTATTATATTTCTTCATCTTTTATTGTTCTTTTTTTTTTTCCTTGAATTGACATGGATGTCATAGTTTTGGAATGGATGTCGACCGACAATAGAAATGATTCAATTCCAAGATAGTGTTGCACGAGGCCGGGTATCCTTCGAGCCTCATTTATGTTATGTTTCATATATATATAACTTAAAAAATTTTGATTTAGTCAAATTATAATACCGAATACATGAATTTGCCTTCAGGCCAGTGAGAAAATAAATTTAACCAATTTAACTTCAAAATTCAATGTCAAACTATACATTTTTGTGAACAATAAACTCAACCCAAATCTAGACCCTTAATGTTCAAGCGTCATTTATACTTCTTTATGTTACTATTGTAAAGTTTTTAGTTATGGATGAATTTCAATGATACTTCACTACTATAACATCCAAATATCATCATCCCTCATTATCTTTGAAGGTTTCTACTACTAGAATTAAGCTACCCTTCAGTATATGAGAAAGATCTAAACCGGGTAGTGAGTAAACTGAGTATCCTATTTGGGTTAAAACATGAATGTTGGAGTTGTTGAAATGACTTTTCCTCTTTGCAATTTTGCCCTAGAGATTTGTTGCATCGTTTTAAGCATGTCTTCCTTTCTCTTTCATGCCCTAGAAATAGTGCTAATAATCGTTTAGACCTAAAAATCGAATATTTACCTATAAATGTAGGTAATTGCTTATGTGGCATCATACGTGTCATTTGTATTAATAAAATAATATTTAATTTTTAAAAATAATTAAATAATATCAAATACAAAATTATTCACCAAAATTTTGATTTTATATTTAAATACAAAATTTCGATGTCAATTGATTCTAATATTTTATTTTCAATTACAATTAAGACCAAACTATAAATTCAAAAAAAAAATCAAGTAAGACCCATCTATAAATTCAAAAATAAAAATAAAAATTATCAAGTATAAAAAATAATAGATTTATCTAAAATATTTTTTAAAAAAAATTGAGCCCCCAAAAATTAGGGGCTCTGTGCAGTCGTTCCAGCAAAACATGGCCTGGACTGGCTGTGGAAATAAGAACTATATGTAGTAGAATTTTTTTTTTTTTCCCTCTCCAATCCACCCCTCTGGCAGCATATTGTTTTTAGTATTACAACTATTTTCTTAATCTATTGAAACATAAAGAGTCAATAAAATTTCAATGGACTCAAACCCATAACTTTTCATTTGGAAGAACCAGTTTATGTCATTGACTCCTAGCAGCATATAATTGGTAATTAAATTGTATTTTTGATAAGTGAAATTTAGGAGGGGAAGAAAACAACATTTTCTTTTCTTCCCGCTAAATCCGTGTAAAATCTTTTTAAGAAATAGGGGAAATAATGGAAGTCAAAAACATTCGCCGGCAAGACATTTACCGTTGCCGACCCCCTGAGGAATGTTCGTTGATAGTCGTCATACCTCCTTTACTCTCCACTCTCTACCCTGCCCCACCTCTCTCTCTTCTATTCTATATATACGAACATCAACCGCTTCCTTTCCTCATTCCATACTCAATATACACTTCTTAACTTCCATTTCTAAACATCTCAGCTACCTGCCAGCCAGCGCTCGAGTCGTCGGCAATTAAAGCGAGATAACGCATTTCCAGTGATCATTAATGGCGGCAGTCTCCACAGTCTCCATGCTCGACTCCACCATGGAAGTTGACAAGCTCACTAACCAAATCTTCTCCATTCTTGAGAACAAGTTTCTTTTCGGATGTGACGATCCCATGCAGGGCAGCCCCTTGATGGCGCAGTCGGTTGCGGCTGCCGGCGGCGGCAAGAGCCTTGACACCGGAAAGGTTCGGGTGCTGTCCATTGATGCCGGTGGATCCACCGACGGGGTCCTGGCCGCCAAATCTTTGGCGCATTTGGAAGCCAGTCTTCGCCGGAAATCTGGGAAGGCGAATGCCCACATTGCCGATTTCTTCGACGTCGTGGCTGGCTCCGGCGTCGGAGGGGTCCTCGCCGCCTTGCTTTTCACCCGCGGGAAGGACGGCGGGCCCCTGTTTACTGCCCAAGAGGCTCTCAGATTCATCGTCGAGAACGGCCGTAAAATTTCCCGGCAGGAGCCGGGCCGGGTTTTCCGGAGGACATTCAAGCCGTCAAAGGCGTTCAAGAAGGTGTTCGGAGATTCGACTTTAAAAGACACTCTAAAAGCCGTTCTGATCCCCTGCTATGACCTCACCACCGGCGCTCCATTCCTGTTTTCACGCGCCGACGCGCTGGAAATCGACGCCTGCGATTTCCTCATGGCCGACGTGTGCGCCGCCACCGTAGCTCACCGTGCACTGGAACTCAAGTCGGTGGACGGCAGAACCAAAACCTCCGCCGTCGGTGGCGGCGTCGCCATGAACAACCCCACCGCCGCCGCCCTCACCCACGTCCTCAACAACAAGCACGAGTTCCCTTTCTCCGTCGGCGTTGAAGATTTGCTGGTCGTGTCGTTGGGAAACGGCGAGTCGTCGGACTCCAGTGCCGGAAATCTGAAGCCATCCCCTGCATCTTTCGTTAATATCGTCGGAGACGGAGCTGCCGACATGGTACGTTCTTATTCTTATTTGTTTTTAATGTGTTTTTTTAGCCACGAGAAAAGAGTAGCGTTTCAAAATAAGATATTGTATTTACCAAACAGAGCATATTCTACAGGTAGATCAAGCTATATCAATGGCGTTTGGTCAGTCGGGCAGCAAAAGCAACTACGTCCGCGTTCAAGGCCACGGAATATTGGGGAAGAAGGAGAGGAAAATGGAGTCGGCGAGCAAGGTGGAAGCCATGGCGGAGGAAATGCTGGCACAGAAGAATGTGGAATCAGTGCTATTCCAAGGGAAGAAGCTTGCCCAGACTTCAAATCTGGAAAAGCTGGATCTGTTCGCCGGCGAATTGGTGAAGGAACAAGACCGGAGAAAAACCAGCGTTTTACCCGTCGTCGTCTTGAAACAAGCGGCGTCGGCATCTCCGAGGACATCTTCCGCCACCACACTATCCTCAATTTCTTCGTGTTAATTAATTATTATTCACATCTTACCTACATTATTATGGGTTATTAGGTAACTAATCAAATATTATATTATATTAAATATTAGTAACTATCCCATATTATATTAATTAGGGTAGGTTAGAGTATTAAGTTTGGTCCACCCATTCATTGGACACTGAGTCAAGTCGAGTCGAGTTAAGTTTGCTGCCACTCGAGATGAGCATAAACATCCGAGTTAGTGCTGAGCTACTGATAAATCTCTTTCTTTTTTAATTTGTTGCCAAGGTTTGCTTTTTGTTTTTTTTTTTTTTTTGGGATTGGGTTGGTCTCTAATTATTAAATGTAAATTAGAGATGAGTGTTGATGAATATGTATATGGTCTCTCTTGAAGTTAAGAGAGAATTTGTTTATGGCATATATGCTAAGTTTGATGATTGAAATTTATTAATCTTGGTAAACATTCTATTTTGATTTTAAAATTTTATAGTGTTAAATTATTATTATTTGAGATAATTATATGTGTAAATTGGTTACTAAATCATAAGAGGCACGCCTTTACTAGCTTATTGCATGTTTTTTATGATACAATGAGAAAATGACGTTAAATCAAGAAAAAAAAAATTATGCATGTGGTCATAGTTTAATTTTACTATAATGAAATTACAATAGTAGAGTCAAATGATACTTATCCATGATGATTAGATTCTCAATATTAAGTTCACAATTAAGGTATACGTCCCCACTATACATTTGTGGTTATTATAGTTATTAAAGGGTCGTCATTTCCTGGCACTCATGCATGCAAAGTCTTTAGCCATATACTCCTTGTCAAGTTAAGTCTTTAAAGCGAAGGCAAGATCATCTTAGGTTGATCCCTGTCGGTTGCTACCAATGGATTGGCCCAAGAAGCTTCACGTAGTACTTCAGCCACGAGACACGTTTGTGGTGCTTTTGAATTGAACTGAGCTATGATAATCTAATTATTAGGTTGACCCATGCCCATTATTTATCCCATCAAATTTTAATCGAAATTGTTTGATCGAGATTCATGTAACATGCTATACTATGTTATGCTTTTCTTTTTCGGGTGCATTTTTAAAAAATTTTAAAAATTATTGAAATAGATTCTAATTAAGTTAATTTTGAAACATATAGAGAATAAAGTGAATTATTGTAATTGATTCCAATTAAAGCACATAATGGACATGATTAAACATGAGTAACCCCCCTGGCCACACTCCTCTCCTGGCCTCCTCCATGTCTGGACCACTATAGACAACCAATCCATAATTCATTTTTGAAAAGTAAACACTGTTTATAACTTGTCTTTGCCTTCAACGACCTAAAATGCATCTTCCTTCTATATTTGTCCCACAGATAATATTAACAACATATTTCATTTGTACAGTAGCAACAATACCCTTGGTTTAAATTCTATGAAATTAAATTTTATATATGCTCGAAATTGTTTTTTATGTTTTTAGTGTTTATATATCTTGTAGTTTTTTACGTAACTTTTTGAGCAATAAGAATATAAATTAAAGATTGCTAGTAGAGATATTAGCTTGGTATTGGTAACAAATGTCATTTTTGTTTGACATCAAAGCGAATGAAAGAGTTATACCGACGAGACATTTGCAGATTTTAAAGCACATGTAGAAGCGAGAGAAGGATTTAAATCTTTGCCAAAGAGGTTGATTTTTACTCTGATCAGTGGGGTCCACCAAAATAAATAAATAAACAGTCGGGCGCGTGGAGGCCGCTCGTTAACCATTCCTTTTTTTTTTTTCTCGAAAAACTCATTTTTCTTGTTTTTTCACCTCTCTTATCTTTCTTAGTTAGCTCTTAAAAACTTGTGCAAAAACTTAACTATTGGGAATGCTCGGACCCAAATGTCCTAAAGATTACTGTATGACAGGTTGGTAATAGTTTAGAAGTAACCTAATGACTTCAAAACTAGGTACCGAATGATTTTACAAAGTGCAAATAACTAAGTAAATAAAAAATTATTAGATGAGATTTAATAAGACTTGAATTATAACTCTAATATATGTAAATAAATCGCGCCATCGCGGTAAGAAATATTGATATTGCATAAGATATTTAACATCTAACCATAAGAAAATAGTATGATGTACACAACTTTATGAGGTAGGCAGTTCACCTACAAAGTCAAAGTAATGGCTGAAGTTTAAAGGACAAACACATTTTATTTCCCGTCAGTCACGCTCAATTTGTTACCTGTGAACGTGTGCTTGGAGGTATAGATGTATTAAAAATAATAATATAAGTTAAATTTTATTTTAGTTCCTTTGTATGTATCCTCTGCAAAAAGAAAAGCTCCATACATGTATAAAATAGATTATAATCTATCTTTAGTTTATAAAAAATGTATGGTCGCTACTTAAAAGTGTATTCTAACTGACCACAAAGAGGTAAACTAGTCTAAGTTGTTCTTAGCTAACCGGCTCAAATTAAGAAGGTCAATAAATAACTCTCATGCGAAGTCGAACTTAGAAAGTCATTGCAAAAATAAAACACACATTTAAAAAATATATATATATATTTTATGGTAGAATGAAAATGATATTTTTAATAAAACTAGTATTGCTCGGCGTGATTAAGGTAAATAACTATATTTGGAGTGATTAATAACTGCAAGTTATCACTATGTATGTTATTACAAATGATAGGAGGCATTCAAATATACAAAAGGTTGAAGGTGATAATATATATATTATTCTCTATTTGCAAACTAAAGAGGTAGCTCAAGTCGTAAAAAAAAAAAAATATATATATATATATATATATATATATATATATATATATATATATATATAAACTTATTGTGCCACTAAGTTAAATTTAAAACCAAGTTACCCTCGTTAGAAATATTAGTTAATTTTCTCTATCACACATGTATATATAATTTGATAAATTTGACTCAAGTTCAGGACAAATGTGACTCAAGACCATGGTAAGTGTAATTAAAACTGCGATGAATATAATTTGAAATGATGATGAAAATGACTTGGTGGTGTAATGAACGCGGTATGAAATTATAATGGACACAACTCGTAATGGATAGTTCACAACTAATCATGAATCAAGCTTGGAGAGTTGGAGTCAGTTCAATTTATTCAGGCCAAATATTTTTTGAGAAAAAAAAAAAAAAAAAAAGTGGTGATATTATTAGTGGGTGGGTGGTTGGGTGCAAGATTTGATAGGGCCGGGTTTGACCCGAAACAAAGGGCAACCAGGTGCTCAACTTTAGTTCATCACCTCTCATCATGCACCAGTCAGCATCATCATATATATATATATATATATATATATATATATATATATATATATATATATATATATATATATTGTCTTCCAAAAATAATAATAATTCAACTAATCATTAATCAAACTTTTAATAGTGACTCTAAAAACGTATACATAATGGGGTAAATATTTTTAATTTTTAATTTTTGGTTTAGTTTTCCTTATGAAACTATGAATGAACACTAATTCATTGAAAAAAATACTAGGAATAGAGACAGACACAAAACTTAATTAGTTGGCATGAAAAGTTTGTAATCAAGTCCAATGAATCCAACCATGTACCTGCTGGGCTGCGCCGACAGTGCAATGTATGTTAAACAACAATTGTTATAACACATGCATATAATATGTTAATTAGATATTGTCTCTGTATACTATAATTAACATATTATGTGCATTCAATTTATTTATAGTCACATCGGTTAAATGCATACCCATAATATATTAACTGTAGATACATAATCTAAATGTTATTTTAGATCGGGTCCACAAATTTGTCGTTAACCAAAGCATATTCCCAATTCCATCGGGGATAATTTGTCCATTTTTTTTTTTTTTGAGACATAAAGTTTGACTCTGGAAGTGATTCAATTTGAATTCAATATATGCTTATTGTGATGATGTTTGTGTAGAATTTGGTGGTAGCTATATCAATGCAGCACCAAAGCTGAAATCTGATGATTAGCATAGCTTTGATTTACCATCAGAATGTGTGTTTAAAATGAAACTGACCCTAGCCGGCAAAGAACGATAAGGAGATAAACCAACCTAAGTTGCCCATAGCTGTTTTGTACTTGTCAGAATGACATAGTTGCATGTGATTTGTGATGCTGAAACCTGAATGTTTTTGGAGAAGCAAAAGTGGACAGATTGAGAAAACATCCTAATCAAAGTACAGAACAGCTTCCAACTCTCATGGTGCAACAAAAATCCAATTCTAAGTTCTAGCATACCACAAAATTTAGGTGGGTACGAGGTTGTAAAACCCATCTTGATCCTCATCCCACAACAAAAATGCAAGAATGGAAAGCACAGCAACTAAAACCCCACAGATCATTTTGCATTTTGAAGTCTGTTGAGTATACGCACCTTCAGATTTTGTCTTACTTTCAGGTTCAGCCTTGGTGAAGCATTGAGATTCAGTATCAGCCAACGCATCTTCTGTCGAAGAAGATGTTGATTCTGAGCTTCGATGAGCCTGTTCGCTTTCAACAGATGATTTTATTTCCCCGTTTTCCCTGTACCTCCTAGGGGACTCCAATTTGCACGAAGAAGGACGAGTGTTCTTTCCAAGAAAATCCAAGCTGCTATGATCTATGTCCTGAACCGAACAAATGAGGTTTCTTGGAGCTGTAAAGATTGCTAAATTTTCAGGTTTAATATGAGAGCGTGACCTCTGCAAAACGAAAATAGTCATTATAACAATGCAAGGCCCATTCTCACATACTCATACTACATTGCAAAAAAACGATACCTGTGGACTGGGAGTTCTGTTCCTGACAAATCCATTTCGACCATTTCCTGGAAAATACCCTGCAAATAGATCACTATAGTCACCGTGATTGGTAGTAAGCTCATCTTGTTCAGAGTTCTGAATGGCAATTTGGCGGGCAACTTGTGACAAAATTTCTTCTTTAAGGGCGCCATTTCCACACCTTCTCCAAAGTCTCCTCTTCACACTCTTTTGATCACTACCCAAATCTCGAGAGATCAAACTGGTTGAATTTGAGGAGTCGAGTATAGGATCAAACGAAAGAAGTGAATCAGCAGTCTCTGATTCGGGTGATGTAGTTATAGGTGACTGATCATCGGATTCACACAAATTTGAGCCATTGGTTGGCTCGATGCCCTTTTCCAAATTTGAGCCTTTCTCACAACATATTCTTTTAGCCAATTGAAGTGCTTCAAATGCTGCTCCTCTGACAAATTGCATCTTATCTGATTGACACATCACCAGGTGTTCAATAACCATTCCCAGCTCAGAAAATATGCTTCTGGGGTCCAAACACCTCATCAGGGAGGTGATCATAAGAATGGCTAACAAACGTTTTTGAGAATTTCCCTCCCCATTCCCACATTTCAGAACACGTAATCCAGATCGTATCAACAATCTGGCATAGGCTTCAACAAGTAACCTATTGTGTTTAGCCAAAGACATTACGAGGGCCATGTGGGGACCCGCCTGAGCATGCTTTTCCAATGCCCCAGAAACAGTTCGGCAGACCTCATTCACTATCTCATTTGAAGCAAACCGCCAATTGTCTGTCTCTACAAGAGCCTTCAAGCATAGAGCAGCTCCCGACGATAAGCCCTCCTGAGTGGCCAAAAGACAATCTGAAAGGGGCTTAGCAAGAGAGTGAATGATATACCGCTTCTTCTCTTCTGAAGTTGTGGGGTCCATCCCGTACCTAGCAATAGCTGGCACCACTTTCGAGCAAGCCTGGTGAAGAGCAAACGACCCTGCACTCGATCTCAAGGTCTTGATGATGGTGGCCATGATGTTATCAATCTGAGGGAGGATTTTCGGTCCATGGACACGAGCAAGAACCTCATAAAGCGAGATTGTGCATTCACCAGATGAAGTACCCGTCTCCTTGGTCTCAGAAACCTTGGCAAGAAAGAGGGGGATCGCCTTGCTATCCAACTCTCCCACATATGACTTCAAAGCTTTAATGGCTGATTTTCTACTATCTGCATCCTTGTCAAGATTCTCCAACTCTTTCCTAAGTATAGGGCTAAGACTTCTTCCCATCATTTACCCTAATCACACCACAATAAATTTCAACCAAAGACCACCATTATCATAAACCACATTTTCTTGTACTCAAATTCAGTTAGTACTATCCCTTAACCCTATGTCAAATCATTTCTAAACAGCCCGCATAGGCAGTTTAGTTGGTTCCTGGAATCCTGGATAGTAGATTGTGGATAAAGACACATGATCGAACCTTGGTAGCCGCAGTGTGGGACCCACAACCAATGTGGTGAGCTCGCACTGACCCCTCCAACCTAATTGACTGCTGAGTCACTGCGATTTATGAGAGAATTTCGTCTTTTATGGGTAAGATCATTTCTAAACAACCATAACTGGGTATTTCACCAACAAAATTCCCATTCCATTCACTAAGAGTTTGCAATGAAATCAGATCAGCATTAGTAAAACTTCGCCAAATACAACACACCCACTCATAAAATAAATGGGAAGATTCAAAAATTCTGCAAGTTCAGATGCATATATGGAAGTTCGGGTGTTCGTTCATAAGCAATCGCTACTAAACAAGATTTCTTTAAAGCTAGACTCTTCAAATCTGCAAAAAACTTGAACTAAACATGGGAATTGGCTAAAAAAAAAGAGCTTCAACATACCTTTAACCTTTGCGTATCAGTGATGAACCCTTCACCATCTCAAGCTTCAACCTCCGGATTCTTGGTTCATCGTCTAAGAATAGCTCATGAATTACCAAAAACTCGTGCCTTAACTAAAATAGTCCTCGAAAATGGGAAAATGGAGATTCTGAAAAGGGAAAGAAATCAAATTGTATTAAAGATTTTATGACAGTGGGGCTATAGAATGGATTGAGCTTCCGCATTTTCGGGCAAGAATTTCTGTCTCACTGTCTTCCCTTTGATCAAATTGGAGGGTACCCTTCAATTTTAATTCTTTCTCCTTAATTCCACCGCTATCCTCACCTTACTGTTTTTTCTCCAAAGAAGAAGAAGATGTTCTCTGTGGAAATCAAATCCCCACTCGGCTCGGAAGTACTGACTTTACATCAAAATATATATCACTTCAGCTAGCCTCATCGAACTATCTCCAAATATTTATGACCTTATGGGTTATTATACATGCGAATTTACCCACCTTTTAAGTTGTGGTGGCAGGTTTTCATCCAAATATTTTATTTGTTACTTCATTCATTTTTTCTTTATTTTGTTTGGTTTAATTGAATAATTCTCTTTGACAAACATATACAAATCCTTAAAATTTGGTGAAAAAACACAAGCATTTACGTCTTATGGCAATTATATATTGTTCAAACTTTTAAAATATAGTAAAAAAAACACAAATATTTATGTTTTGTAACAATTATATCGAATTATGTATAGAAATAATTAAAACTTCTAAACTTTGACAAATTATTATAAAATATTTGTATTTTGTAACATTTATAATTTACAACCCATGAACAAATCAAATTTCACCTGAATTACTTGAGTTTGTGCATAAATTATTTTAAAAAAAATTAATGTAACATTACTTTAAAAAAACCATAATGTATGAAAATATATACTTTAAACAAGTAAAAGTTCAAAAATAAACTATGTAAACACATATTTTACGATATAAAAGTGCATTTATGTAAAGTATTGATGATTTTATTAGGACCGAGCCCACCATAAAGTTTTGAACATGGAGTATTATTCAATCAAAAATACTAGATGTACTCTCAATTTGTACTCTTATTTGTGTTCAAATTTGATTGGAGGGAGGAAAAAAAAAAAAGAAAGATAAACATCATGGGCACTACTAAATTAAGCAATATCAAGGCATGCAATGTCAATAAAGAGTGTAAAATAGGAGTATATGTAGAATTACCCTTATTCAATGCAATCCAAACGGTCGAGTGTCATATATGCGTATCCGAGTTATTCTTAAATGTTACTCTTAAATGTGGCGGGGAGTACTTTCTTCAAGTCTCAATACAAATGTCTACATCAAAATATATGTAGAGTAGAAAAGGGGTACACATAGTATTTTAATGTGTATCAGTCATCACTCATGAGTCATTTGATAAAGTCAACTACATGCACGTTGCCATCTTAATTGAGTAGTGATGTGAGCAATGAGGTGGCTTCTCTCTCCCGCCGGCCGCCACCCTATATATCCGCCTTCACGTTCTGCTACTACCCTGCAATAAAGTTCTCATACATTTTCCTTGTCATTTAGCCGACAATGGCCGAGGGAGGAAGCAGCGCCGCCGTCCAGCAGCCCTTTCCACTCCAAGATCGGGTAGCCATCGTCACCGGTTCGTCTCGGGGAATAGGCAGAGCCATTGCTCTCCATTTGGCGTCACTCGGCGCCAAGGTAGTAGTCAATTACACCTCCAACTCAGCCCAAGCCGATACAGTTGTCTCCCAAATAAATTCAAATTCACTGCAAGCCATAGCCGTCAAAGCCGACGTCTCCGACCCGGCTCAGGTGAAATCCCTCTTCGACGCGGCTGAGTCGGCGTTCAACTCGCCGGTCCACATCCTGGTCAACTCCGCCGGCGTGGCCGATCCCAAGTACCCTAGGATCGTCGACACCCCGGTCGAGGATTTCGATAGGATCTTCAACATCAACACGCGCGGCGCGTTCGTTTGCTGCAAGGAAGCGGCGAGCAGGATCACGCGCGGCGGCGGAGGGAGGATCATCTGCCTCTCCACCTCGACGGTGGGGGCGTTGTTGCCCGGATACGCTACGTACACGGCGTCAAAGGCGGCGGTGGAGGTGATGGTGAAGATATTGGCCAAAGAACTGAAGGGGACAAAGATCACGGCCAACATCGTGGCGCCTGGGCCGGTGGCGACGGAGTTGTTCTTCGAGGGGAAGACGGAGGAGATGATAAAAAGGCTTATGGATTTAACGCCGTTAGGGAGACTGGGGCAGACGGATGACATAACTCCGGTGGTTGCGTTATTGGCGGGTGACAGTGGTGAGTGGATCAACGGACAGGTTATTCGGGTTAACGGTGGCTTTGTGTGATCAACCCTGTAGACAAAATCTTTTTTTTTTTTTTTTTTCCATGCGACAATTTTTTTTTTTTTTTTTGGTAACTAAATAAATGTACGGATCCGCTAAGAACTTTTTATAGTCAAATGGTAGGGACTTTTTATAATACGTTCTTGTTCAAATTTGCCTTGTGAGTTTAAAAAAAAAAAAAAAAATTGCCTTGTGCCCGTATGCTATGTGATGGCCCCACATATATATTTGCTGGGTAATTTTAAATAGTTAACATGATAATTTAAAATAGTTTGTAACAAGTTAATGCAATGATATGTCATATTAAAATTTAAGAGCAATCTTATTAGAGGTTTTTAAAGGGTATTTTTCAGATCTAAAAACTTAAGCATGAATTGTGAGGGAAGTGATGGGGTGTGAACCCCGTGGGCTCGGGGCCCAAGAAGAAAAGAGATAAAGCCCAGACAAAGAAGGGAAGCCCAAGAAGAAAATGGAGCAAGACCAAAAGAGATACGAGCCAAACCGAGGAGTCGGTTGGGCCAGGAGTCGGCCCGACCCGGAGGTCGGCACGGGTAGAGGGTCGGACTAACTAGCCGTTATTCCTAATTATCTACCCTTAAAAGTCCTATTTATCTACCTCATCCATAACCCCCAAATAAAGGCTACCTATTAAGTCTCCCACTTATTACCCCACTAATAACCAAGTTAATACCTATTAACTACCCTACTAAATGGTCCAACGGACACTTTTGGGGATGGACTAGCTATAAAAGGAGGAGAAGACAAGAAGAAATGGGGGATCCACTCATTCACCTACACACATGGGAGGACTCTCCCAAATATTATCCTCCCACTCACCATCCTTTCTCTCATAGAATACTACACCACTCTCCCAAGAGAAGGCAATTTCACATACACAACAAGAAGGTTATCAAGAAGACTCCATTCTACCAAAAAGAGCATACTCCATCTCTATATACAAAATAGCCATACAACATGTACAAAGACACCTACAAAATACATAGTGGAATTAGGCTTGGCACCGCCCAAAAAGGCTCGTGGTTTTCACCTTTCGGTTTCCACGTAAAAATCATCGAGTCATATTTCTTCTATTTTAGTAGCCTTATTATGAAAGGTGAATCCACCAACCACAGGTTGTGTTGGACCTCCTTGGGCCCGAAAACCCAAAAACCAACAGGAAGAGTTTTTAGTGGTTTTTATTAGTGCAAATAAGATTTTTTTTTTTTTTTTTTGGACTCATTAGAATTGATGAAACGCAAGCTGTGTCACAGGTATGCGTTGGGCGCATGAATATAATGGCATTAAATTTTTACTCTTTTTTTTTCTTCTATTTTTTCTCTTTTCTCCCCCTTCTCTTTCCTATTTGGTATTGTAAAACTTTCAAAAAATCAACACTATTGACGTTGCTCTAAAGAGTCACATTCTATTTTATAAAGAGTAAAAAACTTAAATTCAAGATATGATTTTATAGTTTGATAAATATATCTTTAATTAAAACAAAAACTTATAAAATTGTATACATTGATGATGAATTCAAACTCTTACGCTGACCTGGCTAACTGATAATGAAGCTAGAGGTATAGGTACCGGCGCATGAGTCTTACAAGTCAAAAGTGGCATATTGTATGGTGCATGCTTAGAAGATATTAAAAGAGTCTACAATAGTGACATATTGTAACCGAGTAATAAATAAAGATACAAAAGTTTATTTTATAAATAAAAGGAATAAGGGTCAAATAGGCAACTGAACTACACACTAAGTTGCAATTAGGCCATTGAACTCAAAAAAAAAAAAAGTGTAATTGATTCCTGAACTACACAAATTCATGCAATTAGGTCTAAAATGACTTGTTTACTTGATACTTTGCTGACGTGGAGGTTGTGGATTTTTTAAATAATTTTTAAATTAATTTTAAACAAAAAATTAATTTAAAAACCGTCTCCATGGCAGGGAAACGAAGGGACCTTCGTCTCCATGGCAGGAGACGAAGGTCTTCGTCCCTTAGGAGACGATTTCGTCTCCGGCCGTTCTGTTTTTTTTTAATTAATTAATTTTTTGTTTAAAATTAATTTAAAAATTATTTTTAAAATTCGCAACCTACCTAGCAGGTAAACAGGTCATTTTAGACCTAATTGCATGAATTTGTGCAGTTCAGGTACCTAATTGTATCTTTTTTTAGTTTAATGGCCTAATTGTAATTTGGTGTGCAGTTCAGTGGCCTATTTGACCCTTATTCCTAAATAAAATTTTAAATTTGTTAATAAACACCTGCAATTTTCTTTCACCTCCCTATCTCCCCTCTAAGTCAGCCTCTCTCTTTCATGGTTCCATCTAAGCGGTAAAATAATTTATCACAAGACCAATGAGTGAGTCTCATCAACGTTAGTATGAAATCAACTTATCAAAATAAAGGGACTCCTTGTACATAGTAAATAAATATATAAGAGCATCTGGAGTGGACAATTCTATATTTTATCTTAAGGAAAAAAACTTCCAAAATCACTCTTGAATCTTGACTATAAAATAGAGTTAATTATCAAAATGGTCTCTTGACTATAGCGAAATTACCAATTTGGTCCATGACTATTTTTTTGACCAATTAAGTCCCTCAACGTTAAAATTCTTAACCAATTTGGTTCTCCGTTTGTTTGACCGTTAGTCAACCGTTAACTTGGGACCAAATTGGTAATTCGCTATAGTCAAGGGATCATTTTGATAATTAACTTTAAAGGTGGGCAATTCGATTAAGTTTTCTCGAACTAAACTGTACCAAACTAGTTAGATTGGGTAAAATATACTGAACAACCGAACGGTAATAGATTCTTGTATACTAAACGATTCGGTAAAACTCGAACCGAATTGAATTGTTCGGTAAAAATCGAACCGAATACTGTTTGAACTTTGGATTACTATTTTGTTATATATTATACTTTGGATATGGACTATGTAAACCCCATAACACATAATATAGAACTTTTGATAACAAACCATAAAGAAATCAAATAAAACATTTACAAGAGATACCCGTAAGAATATGAGTTGAACGGCAAAGCAAGCAGCAAGGGACTTGGATTTAATTTTTATTTATTTATTTATTTATTATTATTATTATAAAAAAATCAAACGATATTCGGTTCAGTTCAATTTTTTACCGAACAATTCGGATCGGTTCGGATCGGTTTTTTATCGAACCGTTTGGTATACAAGAATCCAATACCGTTCGATTGTTCGGTATATTACCGAACTAAACTAGTTCGGCTCGGTTCGGTTCGAGAAAACTAAACCAAATTGTCCATTCTTAAAGTTAATTACCAAAATGGTCCATTGACTATAGCGAAATTACCAATTTGGTCCCAAGTTAAAGGTCAAACAAACGGAGGACCAAATTGGTTAAAATTTTTAAAGTTGAGGGACTTAATTGGTTTAAAAAATAGCCAAGGACCAAATTGGTAATTTCGCTATAGTCAAGGGACCATTTTGGTAATTAACTCCTATAAAATATGACCCAAAAAAAAAACATGTCACATCAACTGTTGGTTTTTGGGTTTTCAGGCCCAGGGAGGTCCAACACAACCTCGGTCGGTGGATTCACCTTTCACATGCGGCTTATAGAAAAATAAATAGAACGAATATAACTCAATGCTTTTTGTACGTGGAAACCGAAAGGAAAACCACGGGCCTTTTTGGGCGGTGCCAAGCCTAACTCCACTATGCATTTTGTAGGTATCTTTGTACATATTGTAGAGCTATTTTCTACATGTAGTATGAGAATATTGTGTAGGGAAGGAGCTATACTTTGTATATAGAGATGGAGTATGCTTCTTTGTGGTAGAATGGAGTCTTCTTGATAATCTTCTTGTTGTGTATATGAATTGCCTTCTCTTGGGAGAGTGGTGTAGGAAGATTGTATGTATGAATGAATGAGGTCTTATCTTAAAGGAGAAAGAGTAGTGAGTGGGAGAATAGTACTTGGGAGAGTCCTCCCACATGTAGATGAATGAGTGCCTCCCTCCTTGTGCTCTTCTTCTCCTTTTTATAGCTAGCTCATCCCCCAAAAGTGTCTGTTGGACCATTAGTAGGGTATTGATGGGTGATAATTAGGGAGTTATGGGTATTAAGTTGGTTGATAAAGTGTCTGACGGCTAGTTAGTAAGTAGGGTGTGGGGGGCCCTTAGGGTTGGGGTTCAGTCATTTGGAATAATGATTAGGTAATAATAGGGTAGTAAATAGGTTTTATGGGTGATAATGTAAGAATAACGACTAGTTAAATCGACCCCCTACCTGTGCCGACCTTCGGGTCGAGCCGACTCCTGGGTCCCGAGCCATAGAGAGTACGAAATAAGAGTATAAATTGGGAGTACATGTAGAACTAGTGGACTCTTATCAATATATACAGGCCTACACGATCTTATCCGTGGCATTCCGTGCCAAAATGCTCTTTATAACTTATTATATTATATTCTGCAATTATTGCCAAATTTCCCATTTTATTCCTATTTCCATTATCAATTAGGTCTGCCGCCGCCGCCGATTCTCATGGCCGAAGGAAGCAGCGTGGTCAAGCAGTCAAGCCCAGCCTTGCCGTTAAAAGATCGAGTTGCCATCGTCACGGGCTCGTCGCGAGGAATCGGCAAAGCCATTGCCTTCCATTTGGCTTCGCTTGGTGCTAAACTCGTCGTCAATTACACCACCAACCCAGATCTGGCGAACGCCGTCGTCTCCCAACTCAATTCAGCGGCGTCTGCGGCCGATGGCGGTGCCAATTCGCCGCGGGCAATCGCCGTAAGAGCCGATGTCTCCGACCCAGTCCAAGTGAAGTCCCTCTTCGACGCGGCCGAGTCGGCTTTCAACTCGCCAGTCCACATTCTGGTCAACTCAGCCGGCGTTCTGGATTCCAAGTACCCTTCCGTCGCCGACACCGCGATCGAGGATTTCGATAAGACCTTTAACATCAACACGCGCGGCGCGTTCATCTGTTGCAAGGAAGCTGCCAACAGGATAAAGCGCGGCGGCGGCGGGAGGATTATCTGCCTCACTTCCTCCACGGCGGTGGCGCTGAGGCCTGGCTTCGGGGCGTACGCGGCCTCGAAAGCGGCGGTAGAAGCGATGGTGAAGGTTCTGGCTAAAGAGCTCAAAGGGACGGGGATCACCGCCAACTGCGTGGCGCCGGGGCCGGTGGCGACAGAGATGTTCTTCGAGGGGAAATCGGAGGAGGTAATACAGAGGGTAATAGACGAGAACCCCATGGGTAGACTTGGGACGACGGAGGACATAGCTCCGGTGGTTGCGTTCTTGGCCGGTGACGGCGGCGAGTGGGTCAACGGGCAGACTATTCGAGTCAATGGTGGCTATGTGTAGTAGAAGAGAAGGAAGGAAATTTTACAAGGCCTTTGGCTGGAAAGATGAAATTATGGTAGAAATGAATTTGTAATTTTATGAAGTAGAAAAAGAATAAGGTGAAATTAAAGTGAAATTTGTTATTACAAAATAATAATAATAATAATAATAATAATAATAATAATAATAATATATTATTATTATTATATTATTATATTTAGGTGAATTTATGGTGATGTTTTGTAACTGATCTTTCATGTAATATATATAGAATTAAATTCACTTTTGGTCCCACGACTTTTGAGTTCTTATCACTTTTGGTATATAATTTTAAATTTTTTTAATATTGGTGCCTAACTTTGTTATTTTTATCAGTTTTGGTCTTTTCAGCCAAATTGACGGTAAAATATTTTCGAATTTTATATTTTATGGGCAAAATCGTCATCACATGGAAAGATCTTCAATATTTAAACAAAAGAAAAATCATATTAAGAGGAAAAGAAGAGTTTTCCAATGCTCGAAACTATAAATCCCATAGATCTGTCTGGTTTCTGCTCATCTTCCCCATTATTCTCATCATCAAACACCTATAGATATGATTTTACGGTGATTTTGTTTAGATACTGAAGATGTTTCCTTGGGATGACGATTTTACCCCTAACAATATAAAATTCAGCAACATTTAGCTGTCAATTTGGCCGAAAGGACCAAAATTGATAAAAATAACAAAGTTATGCACCAAAATTAAAAAAATTTAAAGTTGTGCACCAAAAGTGATAGAACATCAAAAGTTGTGGGACCAAAAGTGAAATTAATTCATATATATACTAGTAATTCACCCGCGCGATGCACGAAAAAAATTATGTTATTATAAATATAAATAAAAAATAAAAAAACTAAAATATTTTAAATTATTTAATATAAAAATATTTTTGAGCTTCCATTGATCAAGTATTTATTATTTTTATAGAATACAAAATTACAATTATAATTATAATTATAATTATAATTTTGTATGGTTAATATAATCTCTAATTATATGCATATTCAAATAAATTTATAGAGAAAATTTACATAATTACATTGATTTATTCTTAATTGTATTTCATCTATATTATAATTTTCACAATACGAACAATAACTAAGATAATTACATTTGGAAAGCAAATTTTAAATTTTATAGGTGTAAATTTAAACTCTAATTGAACACATTTTTTATATGATTAAATAATATATAGCTATTTTATTTTTCAAAAGTATATTTTTTATATGATTATATAATATATAATTATTTTATTTTTTAAATGTTGTGCTTTTTTTTTTTTAATAATAAAGGATGTTGTTGCATTAATTGTAACATTAAATATTTCCCAAACCATATAGCTTTATTATATAAAGGATTTGTTAATGATAATGATATTGAGTGGGGTTTCTCTATTATTCATCTTTGCCGATTATTCTTTGCAATTTCTTTTTCCCTGTTAATTATACTGATACTATCTATCTTGCAAATTCACCAGTTAAGAACTAATAGACACAATATTACAACATGTTACGATTAATTGACATAATAATTATTAAACATGCATTATGAATATGTTAGAGTGTATTAAAAAAAAAAATACAATATAAAATTTATGAATTTGGTCAATTAATTAAAATCGTGATGAATTTTGTCAATTAATTAGAATTGCGCATTGTGTATTGATAAAACAGTACATCTAATTTATAGTATATATTCAACACATATGATAAACTATGCCCATTATCATTGTCTTTTAGGGGAAGGATGATTTGGTTATATTTTTAAGGTGCACTGCGTCAAGGCACTAAAATTTCAGTGAAACACACTAGGGTCTAGGTGACTATATCAAATAATAAATTCATCAAATCAAAAAATTATTTATAGTCGAAGTGACAACAAGATGAAGCATGGATCACGCCAAAAATTTGTGTTGCAAAAACTATGCTTAGGGTACTATTCAGTGACGGTACGCTCCTCTAAAATTGTCATTGCACCAGTTAATTCAATATTTATGCCATAAGTTAGTTATGCATTATTGAAATTTTTGATAATCTTGCATTAATATACACTAGGATACAGTACAGAATGATATTTTGATAAATTCTGAAACACTAATTTCAAAATACATATTGAGTATCAGACTATTCGCACAATATGCCTGTGATAACTTGTTCGATAATAAAATTCAATACCAATTCAAATTGTGAACATTCAATATGTAAATGGTAAACATTCAGTATATAAATTATGTATTTTAAATCTGGGTCCATGGTATAACTGTGGCACGTCACTAAAAAGGGAAGATATGAGGATTTTGAACACAATAATATCGGCAAATTATATCGTGCACTGCGGTGCATAATCGATTATACACCACGCATCAAAACGACGTCGTTTTGTTTAATTAAAAGAAACGGCATCTGTTTCCCGCCGTTCCGCACCCTTTCGCAAAAAGTAACTCTCTTATTCAGGTTCATTTTGTATACACTGCAGTTTCAGTTCAACAGAAATACAATTTAATTTCGATATAACTATAGTTTCATTCGATATTTATAGACTCAAATATGTGAAAATGTTATTTAATTTTATTTTATATAAACTATAGTTTTATTAAAACACAACTACATGATTATTTTGATATAATTACAACTTCATTGTACAATATACACTCAAATATGTGAAATATTATTCAGTTTCATTTTATATCCACTGCAGTTTCATTTCACTACAACTACAGTATCATTTTGATATAACTGCAGTTTCATTTGATAATATAAAATAATACGTGAGGCAGTGTCAATTTAAATATACTGTAGTGTCTGTTGGTAATTAACATACAAAAAAATACGTATTCCGTTAACACTAACGGTGCATCGTTTCTTTACTTAAAGAAACAGTGCCGTTTTGATCGCGGTACATGTGCACCGCGGTTCACAATATAACGACTAAATAATATCAGCCCAGGCCCAACAAACACTCAAACAGGCCATAATCCAAAGTTTTATAACATACATCAGCTCATGTCATAAACGACACATAAACGACACCGCAAACCCATCACATGTGGCAACTGGCAATAGCCGGTTAGAAGTTTCCTAGACCGGCTAGAAGTCGGCTTAACCAGTCACTCACTATAAATACCCCATTGGGAGTACAAAAGTCTTCCCCTTCTCATCCATCGCGTATATATTTTTCTCTTCGATCGCTTCTCTCGGACCTCTTCCCTCTCTCGATCTCCACCATCTCCACCCAGGGTACATATACACTTACGTTTATATATGGATCCATATACTATATATATATGTATCCGACATCTATAAAAGGGTTACTTTTTCAAAGGCTTTGGCGCTCAAACATCGATTTTCCCTGATTTTCTTTGTAGACTTAACTGGATTTCATCTGATTTGTTTGTAAATTTGTGTCTTAGAGAAATTTTTTATTTTGTAAAATATTTCTTGCAATCTGATGATACATAGTTAATGTTATCGGATCTCTTTTTGTGTAGTTGAATCCTGTTCTTGAATTGGTGTCCTGATCGGAAACCCTAATTGAACTTGTTTTGAGATTTGAGCTAAATTATTGAATTTAGCTGAAAAGAAACCACATATAAGGTAGGGGCTGTGTGTCAATGGCGGCTAATCAGGAGGGAATGGAAGGGAGCCAGCCAGTGGATCTTTCTAAGCACCCGTCTGGAATTGTGCCAACCCTCCAGTAAGTCTTCTCATATAAACAAATTAAACAAATTATTGATACCGAGCATTAAAATTGAGTCTGATTTCTTATTTAAGAACAATGCCCCAAGTTTATTGGTTCTCCAAGTACTTTTTCGAGACCAAGGAAAATGTGTTGTTCTATTACTTCATCTTTTTCAAGGGTCAGTTGCATGTTTGCAAATTGCAGAGTAGGTTTTTCTATTACTTCACCTTGGGTCAGTTTCCAAGGGGTTTTTTCCCTCTCTCTTTCTGTGTGTGAGACCTTGGAATGAGTTTTGGTAATGGACCTTTTTCAGTTGATCATCTTATCTCATGGGACAAAGAATATTTTATTTTAATTTATTTTTTGATAAGAAATAAATAGATTGAGTGAAGGATGTGCAATGAAAGAATGCAAGAAAGGGAAAAAACAATTGTGCATATGCTGCTAGATGGATTGAGAAATGTGGGTGTACTAAGTTGCTAGAACAAAGATTTTGTAGTGGAGTAACTTACAATGTGCTGAATTCTTAAAAAAATTAAACTTAAAATACAAGGACTAAGAGAGGCTATTATGGGCTACGACTTGTGACCTCAGTTGACATAGGTTACATACTTCACTTTGCAACTGGCCACTGATCGTGACAGTTGTATGTTGCCAGTGGCAAGACCTAAGTGACTACTGACTTAAGTAGTCACCGACTAAAGTGACTTCACTATGTAACAATGGTCTAAGGCTACCGCGTTCACTATTGTTAACATAACCTAAATGGTATTAATGTATAGCCTTTACAAGGGCACTTGTCAAGAAAACACTTTAAAAATTGCTACGCTTTAAGAAGTTGATAGGGCATCCCTGACAAGGTGGTCAGGTTGTAGATACTGTAATGTACTGCATGTATTTATTATGATGCTAATGTGATATCTGTCTATGGCTTACTTCCTGCAGGAATATTGTCTCAACTGTCAACTTGGACTGTAAATTAGATCTTAAATCTATTGCATTGCAAGCTCGCAATGCTGAATATAATCCAAAGGTACTCAATATATAGAAGTTCATGCTTATTTAATTATTATTTGATCATTTCTTAACTTTAGTTGTTCCATTTATTTTGATTGTTTCTTCTTGTTGATGTTTTCCAAATGATCAGCGTTTTGCTGCGGTTATCATGAGGATAAGGGATCCAAAAACTACAGCTTTGATCTTTGCATCTGGAAAGATGGTAAATTTTCTTCGATCTCACTTTCTTTATTGAGCTTTTTTTTTTTTATTTTTTTATTTTTTTATTTTTATATATATATATACTTCTCAAATCTTTAGTTATTCCAATCTTTTTTGCTGTTTGGATTTAGGTTTGCACTGGAGCAAAGAGTGAAGAACAATCTAGGCTTGCAGCTAGGAAGGTATGTGATAATAGAGTGATGGGTGAAACTGGATTATTAATCTGAAAAGAGTGATGGGTGAAACTGGATTATTAATCTGAAAATTTATTAGCTGTCATTCGATTATACAAACTTGATTTAAGAAAGCTAGTAGATCTCATGCATAAATCAGAAATGCTCTTTTAAAAAAAAATATTGGATTCCAAAATTTTCAGCATGTTGTGAACTTCACTATTCAACTTGTCTTGTGTTTTTCTTGTGTCTTTCAGTATGCTCGTATCATCCAGAAGCTTGGGTTCCCCGCAAAATTTAAGGTACTTGTCTCTTTTTCTCAGAATTATGAATTTAAATTCACATCACCTTAATTCAAAGCATGTATTCACATGGCTTTATGACATTTTGTGTATTCAATTTTTTCGTAGGATTTCAAGATTCAGAATATCGTTGGCTCTTGTGATGTGAAATTCCCCATCAGACTTGAAGGTTTGGCCTATTCTCATGGTGCCTTTTCAAGTGTAAGCATCAGAATTTGTAATCCAACCAATGCCTTACTACATATTCTTTAAATGGAATCTTTATTTGTTGCAGTTATGTGATCTAGTGTTTTATATTCACGCAGTATGAGCCGGAACTGTTTCCAGGTTTAATCTACCGAATGAAGCAACCTAAAATTGTGCTTCTCATATTTGTGTCTGGAAAGATAGTCCTCACAGGAGCGAAGGTAAATCATTATTTTCCTTGCCATGAAGTTTTAACGTTAGTCCAACTTCCAACACCGCATGTCATCCTATACTTTAGGTACGAGAAGAGACATACACGGCTTTCGAGAACATTTACCCTGTCCTTACGGAGTTCAGGAAAAACCAGCAATGGTATGCCTATACCCTCTCACAAGCTTTTATATTCCTTTTAATAGGTTGACTGACATCTTTGTTTAACCGATAATTGATATGTTCAAAACAAAACAAAAAAAAAAAGAAATTGTAGATGTCCATTTATGGGAATTATGATGGGCATGGTGGAAACTTGAACACTGGATACTGGTGCGTGCACACAAAGTGATGGGGCTTCAAACCTTGATCACATAATCTGATAAATGTGAATTGTGATTTTCTTGTACGCAATTACCAATTGGTTTGTCTGATCCTGGGAGATGTTGCAAGGCCACATGGCACGTGCAGTCCATTTTTGGATTTTTTTTTTTTGGTCTTTTTTCTTTGTTATTAGTAAAAGAAGATCTTTCCCTACACATTTGTAAGAACAGAAGCTTTCAATCTTCTATTTCTTTTCTTTTTATCAGTAAAGGTAGCTGTCTTTCCTTGTGGTTCTCGACTTAAAGATAACCAAATGTATGATGGAGAATTATAAATATTTTACTTTATTTTATTTTAATTTGGACATAAGAACACAAACCTTTTTAAGCTCAAGGATGACAATGTTTTACAAATTAGTTTGGTGTTGTTTTACATAAGTATGAATGCTAATTGGACGGTTTGAATCATATTTCTAAATTCACTACCGGGTGAGATTTTTAAACATCCACCTCTTATACATGCGCGATAATGTAAATATCCACTTCAATTAATTATAATTGATTGTTAAAATTATTTACAATATTCTCTAATTTTGAATAAGTCCATAAAGTTGGACTAAAATGTTAAAATTAATGTTACTATTATATGTGTGTGGGCGACTGGACGTATATATACATACAAACTTGATGTATTCAATTTTTCATATGTCGATCGGGACTCCGTATTTTTATTTTTTTTTTTCATTTATAAGGTTATTTCTAAACATTTTTACAATACTCTTTTAAAAAATCTTTCATTTTTAAAAGTGTTTTTATTTTCACATCATATTATAATATAATAATGAAATACTAAATAATTTTTTTAAAAAATTGAAAAGGTTGTTGGATGACAGCTTAAATGTAAGATTGCAAGTTTATACCAAGTGAAAACTTGCAATCAACATAAGCTTGTTTTAAGTTTTTAAAAATTTAAAAATACAAAAAAATAAAAATAAAAATGTAAAGTCATCTTGCAAGAATGCATGGCATCAAATTTGTGATATAGGTGGAATATTCTCCTCTTGTCCAATAAGTGAACCTTACTTGTGATATTGTATCACTGTTCCAAACTTATTTTAAAAGATCAGTTTAGCAATAGAACTTTTAAATACGTGATTTAGTCCCTCGACAATTAAGATTTCATCACTTTGATTCTCGACTTCTAAACTTGCTCAATTTCATTTTCAACTATGTAATTTTTAACCAAAATGGTCCTAATAAGGACTATTTTGGTTTGGAAAAATGACTATTTTAGATAAAAATTGCATAATTGGGGATTAAATTGAGTAACTTTGGAAGTGTAATACCAAAGTGGTGAAATCTTAATAGTCGATTGACCAAATAGAGTATTTACTCATTTAAGTATTAATCAACACTTGTCAATAGCCTTGTAGTCGAATGGCATGAAGTGACTTTCTTAAATAGAATGTTATTAGTTCAAGCCTTAATCAACACGTACTGGACTTTGTAAAATAGTCTAAATCGTTACCCAACCATACTTTTAATGTAATTTCTAAATATATAAATTTTGTATACTAAACTATACTCCCTTTGTCTTACTTACTATTCATGGGTCGAACCAACTCTTTTTTGTGTTTAATAGTACTTTTAATGTAGTTTCTAAATATATAAATTTTGTATACTAATACTAAACTATACTCCCTTTGTCCTACTTACTATTAATTGGTCGAACCAATTCTCTTTTGTGTTTAATAGTACTTTTAATGTAGTTTCTAAATATATAAATTTTGTATACTAATACTAAACTATACTCCCTCTGTCCTACTTACTATTAATTGGTTGAACCAATTCTCTTTTGTGTTTAATAGTACTTTTAATGTAATTTCTAAATATATAAATTTTGTATACTAATAATAAACTTAATATTATTAAAAATTAGATTAAAAATAACTTTGATCAAACCTCGTTAACCGAACTAGACACATAAAATTGGACGGAAGAAGTAACTTTTTTTAACCTTTTAAATTTCCAAAAAAAATCAAACTTTTCTCCTAGCAAATGGCGTGTTGATGTATTTCCAATTAACGAGGGAGGACTTGAGATTAGTTGGTCACATGTTAAAATGGGTGGAGGGGCAAACGTGTAATTTTAGGCTGTGAACACAGATACTTCTAGCTCCAACTGTGGAATATTTGGGGGGAACGTGTGGTGAGAGATCACTGCTTTTTCTTGAAGAAATTCAACAAAAAAAAAAATAAATAAAAAAAAATCAAAATTATAACAATAAATCAGTAATCCGTTCTGCTTTGCTTTGCTTTGCTTTGTAATAATATATTCCTCAGGAAGAAGACAACACAATCAACCGTTCCAACAAAGAAGTAACGATCATCCCTAAAGGCTAAAGCTCTGTGTGAAGAAGAAGCAAAAATATCACTTTGATCCTTCGGAGTTGGGACATGGCGCAGTTCACAGTGAGGGGCCGCTTAAAGCCTCTGTTAAACGGCGACGCCTTCGAATTCAACAAGTCTCCGTCCTCCTCCTCCTCGTCGCCGCCGTCGCGCCGCCGGTTCAAAGCTTCCGGCGGCGGATTCAGTGCCGCTGCGGCGGTGACGTCTTCATTTCCTCTTCAACTTCAAGAGCTCAGACTCAGGTTTAGTGGTCCCGGCAGGATTACTAGAGTGTACGCTAATGCCTCATCTCCGTCGTCGTCGCTCGGCAAATCCAAGGAGTTACATTCGAATCCTGTGCCGGACGGCGGCGAAGACGACTTCTTTGAGGAGATCATGGACGAGGTTTCGGAGATCCAGAGGGACGAGCTGTCTTCCTTCAGAGGTTTAGTGTTGGACCTTGCTTACAGGTGTAAATTTGTTTCTTTTAATGTTTCTATTTTTTTCTATAATTATCTTACAAGGAATATATATAATCAAAGACTGCAAATGATCTTCTGTACTAGTATCATGAATGAATTGTGTGTATAATATTATATATATATTTAGATATAACTATTTTGATGAAAATTTTAAAACAGTTATTTACAAAGAATATGTATATAACAATACTAAAATATACTCATATCCTTGTATATCATGTTAGGAATTCAAACATTATTGTACACACAACTAATGTGATCAGTTTGTCAGGTTAGCTAACTAAAGGCTAATCTCGAATAGGACCAAAGACTTTGGTCCTGTTTGGTAACATAGTCAGTTAATTTTGACTTATTTGATCACTATTAGTTGTTTGACTTGGTTAAACAATCAATATGAGTGTTCGATTAATTAGCTTTTTTTGTAACAGCTTATTGCTCCAAAATGTTAAAATTCAAACGATAAGCTTTTTGAGATAGTCATTTTACATGTAATTAGTTATCCACTAACAACTAATTTACGAAACACTTTTATACAATCAGCTAATGCTATCAATTAGTGAAACCCACTAACCCAATTAGCTAACAGCTATTTACCAAACATCCATTTTTGTTTCTGTGCTATTATAGATCTTTGTATAACTGTTTTGGAGTTGGCAGAACTTATATATTTTTCGAAACATCATGCAGACCTGTCAATGTTGTCTGCTGGAAGCGAGCTATTTGTTTAGAGTTTATGGAGAAGGTCAGACAATTTTGCTTTCTTGTTTCTTTATTGTTCTTACACTCTCTCTATCTATGCGTTTCTTATGGAGAAGATGATGCAAACTTGTATATGAATCCACAGGTTTATAGAACCAGACAATACTTTGTTTTACAAATTATAGTACTATACCTAGGAATGAGGATAGATGTTTAACTCTGAACTTTAGAATCCATATCCTTTGTCTCTTTCTCAGTATCTTAATATTGGTTTGGGAGCACATTTTAGTATCAAGTCGTGCTTGGTTTATTATTTAAACAGAACATCTATTGGACTCACGATTATCTCTAAAACTCCCTTGATTGTCGTTTTGCAGGCAGATGTTTTGGAGTATTATGACCAAACTGTGAACTCTCCGAGTGGTTCCTTCTATATACCTGCTGTGCTAAGGGTACAGATATCGCGAGTGCATCAATTGCATTGGAAATTCATTTTTTTTTCATTGTTATAAATTGGCACCCGAGTTTCTTATTTGTGTGCTTCTTTGTTCTATTCCTTTCTATATATGTAGACTTGCTGTTGATCCTATGCTCCATATATTCTTCCAGGTTCCTCATTTACTTCAGGTTGTCAAAAGGAGAAGAGTCAAGAGGGCACTTAGTCGTAAGAATATCTTTTATCGGGACAACTTTACGTGTCAGTAAGTGCTTTGTCAATGGATGGATACCATATATACAGTGTTCTCAAATGGTGCTGTGCTTCTTGTATGTGATGGTTCCAAGGGGGGATTATAGTTGTGACTGTTTCATTTTAGCAATGTTCTAATGTTCTTTTTTGCGACTACAGATATTGTTCTTCTCGTGAGAACTTGACTATTGACCATGTTGTGTCAGTTGCACGAGGTGGGGAATGGACCTGGGAAAATCTGGTAAGATGACCTTGAAACTGTCCATTTTTTCGTATCATCTGCTTGGTGGAACTATTTGTAAAAACGGAACTTGTGATGGCTGAGTATGGATAACTAACGTCTGGCATGCTTATCATAGAAAGTGCAGAAATTTTAGACATTAAACCAATTATTAGTACCAATGAAAATTTCCATTTACCTTTCACCAGGTGACTGCTTGTGCGAGATGCAATTCAAGAAAAGGGCAAAAGACACTAGAAGAAGCAAATATGAAGCTGATGAGTGTCCCTAAGGTATTGTTGTATTAGTCGCGCAATCAGATATTTCAGACCAACATTGAACAATCTTCGATCCATTTCTTCGTTTTGGTGATATTGTAGGCTCCCAAGGAGTATGACCTAGTTGCCATACCGTTAACCGCGGCGGCTATAAAGATGTTGGAGAAGAGGAAGGGGACTCCTGAAGAATGGAGGCAGTATCTCTCAATGCCATCTTCAGCACCCTGATATACATACATACAACAAGGGTGTCCCCTGCAGCCTGTAAATTCTGCCCCTCTTGCTACTTGCTAAAAATGGTAAAGCTAAAGCTAAAGCAGTAGTCTTACTGGGAGAAGAAACCCACATTTGCTCTATCCCTGCAAGCATCCCCTTGATGCTGTTATTGTTTCTAAGCCTGTGTATAACAATTGCTCATATGCTGTATCATAAACCTCTCTTTGAATGACTGGTATAACAAGTCAATTTCACTAATGTTAAAATCCTGTGTCAATCAATTGACAACCAGGAACATAATGTCGTTAAATACAATGACATTTCGATCTTTTATATACAAAGTGGGATAACCCGCTATATATATATATATATATATATATATATATATATAAAGCGGTTCAAGTGCGGAGATAGTTCCAGGTGAAAAATGGGATGAGATCTGAACCATAAATCTAGATCAATGGCTCAAATCAATGAAATTTAAAATAAATAAATAAAAAACACGCCTCAGAAAATGTGAGTTATAATTAGACTTTTAGGAATAATTATTAGTACTTGTTTTAGGCAAAATCCAAAATAGCTAATTCAATAATGGAACTTCTATTAAGACTAGAAATAGAACACACTCATACAAGCATACCATTAGTCCATTACATACAATTTCAATACATCCCACTCATGATTTGAGCTAACATAAATCTGAGGTTAAAGATCACAAGGAAGCAGAGCCTAAAAACCATCTTGGCAACATTGAGAATAAACTTTTAAGGGAAAATGAATATTTGGGATCTCATACAACTTCAATATAGCCATGATACATGCTAACATCCATGAAACGAGCGGCTATACGGCACATGGATTTGTTCCACTTGGGAATGAGACCAGAAATCCAGTTTTTTCCTGCTTGCTAAAGTAGGCTGGAGTTGCAAGCTTTGATGAAAATGAGCTGATACTAATTTATAACAATACCCAGCATGGAAACTATGAATCTCCAGGTGGTTCAGCAATAGTAGAATTTGTTTCAGATCTGACCATCTCTTCTAAAGTTTCCATGTCAATTGTCATACCATCATCAACAATTTCAGCCCCCTCGACCTCACCCATTATTTCATCAGGATCTTGACCCGTAGGTGTAATGCCATTTGGTACTGAATTTGACGGTTGCTGGGATCCCTCGGGTTCTGTATCCACTTCAGCTGCTTCTAGCATCGTAGCAGATGGATCAGCAGATATGGTCAATGTAGATGTAACCAACAAATTCTGCAATGAGGTGAAGATGCATTATATAACACCAGAAATGTGGTCTAAGCAAACAAAATTAAACCCCTGAATAAATTTGGAAAGAATCGTAATTTTATGTTATTCCAAGAAAAATATATTTGCCAGCAAGATTTTGATTTACAACATCTACCGTAACTACTCTGTGCCTATGTGGTGATAATTCAAAGACACTAAACTTTGTCAGATTTTTGGTCTTTGATTTTTTATTTTATTTTTAATGGAGTACATATTATAACCCGGGCCGGATCCATCAGAAACCTAATTGAGACTCCTCAATTAACCAGATGAGAAGTTTGGCATTGACCAGCTTCAAAACTTTATATGACTCTACAATATCGCTGAAAAAGTTCCACTTCTCAAATGGAATTTTTAAAGCTGGAAAGTGTTGAATAAATGTGCAAAACAAATTCAAGATCAGACCTTTTCTAGTGCCAATGCAAGCTTTGAGAGCTTCGAGTAAATGTTTCGTGCATCCAACAAAATCTGCTCAATACCAGAAGCAATGGGTAAAGGACAAAAATATTAAACAAATAGAAAGATATACAGAAGGTAGAAAATATGTTAACACACCTCACACAGCCTTTGTAATGTAAATGGTGGACCATCAACAAAGCTAATAAGAGCTGCAAAAGCAAGTCCAGAATGAATTTAGTTTAACTGTGAAAACAGAGCAAAAGGGTTAAAAATTTTAACTTCACACTTGAAGCATGAAAACAAGGTGTTAAAAAAAAAAAGGCTAGATGCTGCGACCAAATTGTTCTCAGCCAGATTTTAGAGTAGTTCAAGTAATTCTATTCAGAAGTTCTATTTTTTAATACCATCCCACAATAAACTGCTCCTCTTTCCCACCATAAGTCCTGATGCCCTAAGGTAAACTTCCACCACTATCCATGGTAAAAATGTCAGATCTATGTCTATTCATCATTTCATCCAGATATAAAGTCGCCCTAAAACTAGGGGTGAGCAAAAAAACGATGACTTATAACTGAACCACCCGAAAAGTTCGGTTAGGTTATTGGTTTTATAGTTCAAAAATTTTAAGTTATTTCGGTCATCAATTTTCTTGATGAAAAGCGATGACTGACCGAAAACCGATGCTTAAACAAGTAAAAAAAACTAGTAATTTTGTAATATATTTTAACTTAATATTATTGTTTTAAAGTGCTTATTGCTACCTTTGGGCTTTGGTACAAGAGAGAATGAGCATGTTTCTAGAAGATAAAATTTCTAAAGTTTAAACTTGGATATTTGATTTTGAAATTTGCAAGTGGCTTTATTGTAGTAACTAGTAATGTGTTTTAGTGTTTAAATTTTGAGTTTAGACTAAATTTTTTAAGAAATTACAAGCATTTAGTTTATTAAGTTCGGTTAAAAATAACCAACCAAAAAAGTTCGGTTTTGATCGGTTCGGTTATGAGAAGAAGCTCAGTTATTTCGGTCAGTTATACTGTTATAGTGTATTAGTGTATTAAAAAAAAAAAAAAAATCAGTTATTAACCAAAAACTGACCGACGCTCACCCCTACCTAAGAGAAACATTTACATAGTTGAAAAACTATTGTGGAAAGCAATAACAAGATAACAACAGATATGGCACTCAATTACATGGACTGTGTTACATAAATATATATTTTTTAATCTCAGCCCATGTTGTTTCCCAAGCTTAGGCAAAGGATGAGGGTTGTAATGTGTTGACATTGAACATAAAAAATTTGCAATCTCAATTTCAGAGACATAGCTGGCTGCAATTAGAATGCTGTTAATGCTTAGTTGGGCTATTTTACCTCAAAGAAACATGACAAAGATATAGCAGTATTTAAAGTGTTTGAAGCCTGGGAATGGCTATCAGACAATACTAGCAGGAACTCATACAAAGAAAAAAAAAAATGAAAGGTATGACTGGAAGTACCATCATCCAACCTTTTCGCCAAATCTGGGAAGGGCTCTCCTAATGAAGAAATTTGCAGTTCATTGGTCATTTTTGCCTCAGGATAGTCTTCCAGGACCTTATCATAAGATACAAAATCATGTAAACATACAAAGGAAAGTAAAGAATATATTCTATTTAAGTTTAAGATGAAGTAGGAAATCAACTGCCATATGCTGTCAGTCCAGTATACCATCACATACCTGCTTAAGATGGAAGGATAGAATACTCTTCAGCTTATCCCAATCATGCCTGATAGGAAAATGTTCACAATGATTTACAAGGAAGACTATTATAATTTATGGCAGACACAAAAAATGACAAGAGCCATGGCATTGGAAAATCCAAGTCAACAATGTGGTAATTGCAGACTGCACACACACACACACACAGAAGTCCAAGAAGTCATACATGAGCCAAACCTTAATTGCAGAACTTAGATAGGGTAGATTGTTTTTCCCTATTTTGACTATAGACATAGACTACATCTAAACTGAGAATCTTTTCGCATAACTATTCATTATTTTCAAAACATTATCAACCATCAGACTCCTACAAGCTTTCTGGATTATATATACTTCATCATTGAATGCCTTTGCTTAATGCCCAGCTAATAGTATGGATGAAGAACTAGACTTAAAAACCAGGCAATTAACAGTCAGATAACAATTTACTATTTCTTCATTACAGGAAACAGAAAAGGACCAGATTATTATGTTACAGGATTCTGATTAATCCTACGACTGCCAATTCATCAGTTTCCATAACTCCACACACACAGAAACCACTTAATGCAAATGGAACCACTTGAATAGTGGCAAAAAAGTTAACATTTAAAGAACACACTGTAAATGTGCTTATAAAACCTATTGAAGCAAAAGACAGGAAATATAAACTTCAAAGAGAAACAAATAAACAAACAAACAAAAAAGCATACCAAAACTTGCCAGTAGCTGCTATTGCTTCCAGCAGGCGTATACGTTCTTCGATAGAAATTTCTTGCTGGTTTGCCATTCTTCCGCTGCGGTTCTACACCACAGTCAAATAAAAAGTTCAAGTATGGTACCGGAAAAACCATAAAACCATATACATAATCGAAAGTGTATCATATAAAAGAGAGAGAGAATGCAGATTGCCTTAACAGGACGGAAGAAGGTGACCGATTGATGAATACGAGAGGACCGGAAGAACCCTAATTGAGTACTCAAGCGGGTCTGGTTCACAATAGCACTGACTGGACCCAATGCCCTTGTGGCTTGTGCCCCGAAAGTTCAAAACGACCCGTTTGACAGTAATTACATTATACCTTCTTATATATTTGGTACTTCTTCAAAATATATATATATATATATATATTTGGTATGACAAGACATCTCCTGAATTTTTGTCCGATGAGACATGTCCGGTCAAAATAAAAAAGGGAAAATACTTAGTGTACTCCTATTTTAAACTCTCAATTTGTATTTTCTCTCACATGTTTTTGATGTAGACATTTTTCTGTGGATCCACATGATGAAAATAATCAATCCTGAATTACCACTTCAGGGAGTATAAATGAGGGAGTAGAATTTTGGGAGTCTATGTAGTAGAACTCATAAAAAAGAAATGGGTCAAATAGGTTATGAAATTAGACATCAAAATTCAATTAGGCCATTAAACTTAAAAAATATAAAATTATGTCTCTAAATTAATCAATTTCATACAATTAGTTCAATTTGAAGATTTTTCAAGTTTCTAATAGGTCACTCAAAATTTAAAATAATTATTTAAAATTAATTAAAAAAAAAATCACTGCCATGTCGGAGATGAAAGTATATCATGCAAGATTATATATGAGAAGTTCATACATAAGTAATTTAATGTCAAATTTGTTTATTTAAATATGCAACTCATAATATATGAATACAATGTAATATATGAGATTCATTATAATTGTTACTAAACTTTTTTTTTAAATAGTAATCAAGTATTTTTGTTGCAAATGGTTCTAATATATTTAATGAATGCACACATATACAATATCAGTGAATGAATCAACGGTACTAGTCCTTTAGGTGTTTTGCTCAGTGTTCATTTAGTTCAACAATTATTGTTGAATAAATTATTATGGATAAATAAATTCCTAATTATAAGAAATTTAGATGAAGTAGTAAAAATTTAAATTTTTTTAATTATAATGTAACCCAAAGATATTGGACAATCGGTAAATATGATGTAATACAAAGATCAAAATGCTAAAGAAAGTGTTTGGTTATTCAACCGTTTGAAGCAACAATTTGTTCCAAGCCACATAAAATACAAATATTGCAATTTACAATATTGTCACTTAGCGTTTTTGAGAATGATTTCCACAAAACACCTCTATATTAAAAAAAAAAAAAAAAAAAAAAAACTCTTGAGACATTTCAACTCCTTGAATAACAAAAGTCAATTTCGCTGGCTCACTGCTTGCCCATCAACGAATGGACAAGCTTATTTTTAAATCGGAACCTTAAGGCTCCTTTTATAGGAGTCTCAAGGCTCCCATGCCACTTTTCCTACCGATGTGGTAAAAGTGGCAAAACAAATAGCAACCGAACGTTCGACTCCCCATATGTTTTATTTTATTTTTTTATTTTTTAAAAATTTTATTTCTTTTATTAAATTACTATTATTATTTTTTTATTTTTTTAAAACAACTATTATTATTACAACCGTTGATATAATTCGCTGGTCAATAGATATTATAATGATATAGTAAAAATTAACTAACAAATTTTTTTAGAAGTTTTAATGCATTGATAAAACAATGATGTGTAAACTTGTTCAATTGGAGCCCGTGGGATGTCAACATTGTTGAAAATGGTCCTACCGTTACGTTTTAGAGTCCAATTGTAATTGTATTTATGATCAACAACTTTGTAGTTAGGTCGCGCAAGTCTGACAATGATGTAAGAACAATTTTGTTCGGTAAAATAATAATAGTATAATATTTGCAAAGTAATGTACAATTGTACCATTATAAAAATACATACAAAAAAATATGAATACATAATGACCTAAATCATCAAATAATGCAAAAGCATAATTGAAATATTAAATTTTGTTATAAATAATCAAAAGAAGATTAATTCAACTATAAAAAAAAAACATAGCATATTTTTTTCTTTTAATGCAATAAAACCAAATTATTTTCAAAGTTCCTAATTTATATCTTTGATGTTCAACTTTGAATGCTATGTATTTAGTCGGACTAATTATTTAACCAAACTTTATGTTAAATTTTATATTATATTTTTTTAATATATTTTAACATATTCGTAGTACATGTTTAACAATTATGCTAACTTTAATTGTGATAAGGTTCGAACCTAAGAACTTTCTTATCCAAATTAATGAGTAAGTTAAGAATAATAAATAATTAATGGAATATTCCGTTACTAAAGTTTATACTAACGAAATTTAGGATTATTTAAGAGAGAAAATAATATAATAGATGGTAAATAAGGAAAATCATTAAAAAATATTAAAATCAAAATAATATCAACCATTTATTTTAAAAAACAATTACAACCAACATTTGACCTAACATTATGGGGTTTTTTTTTTTTTTTTTTTAAATCCCAAAATTTTCTCCTCCCTATCTATTCAATCTGTGTTAATACATTGTTACATGAATGGAAAACCTTTCTATCATTTATCCTATGCTAATCTTTACAAAATAAGATAAATTTACAACAGGAGAATTGATTTAAGAAACAGCTAGCATTGCATGCCACACTGAACACATACTTTATATGGCCACAAAGGCAACCGTTTTGTACACATTCTGCTTCGTGGCTGTGCTGATGATGACCCCCTTTCGATATTTGTTCGGATGAGTGGAAGAGCAGCTCACTGATAACTGGGGATCCGAACTCTCAGTCCGATACTTTGGCTTATGCTGACTGCCGAAGCATCCGTTGAAGCTGAAAGACCTGTTGTTGCTGATCTTGGGGCAATGAGTTTAACTGTTGTGGCGTGAGACTCATCACTTGCTGCAATAAGGCTGACTCTACATCTGGGGTTATCTGAAGAGCATGCTTCTCAAAACTAGAAGCCTCTTCTCTTCTCAGAACTACATTTAATTCAGGTGGTGAATAGCAACTCCTTCCATCATTTAGTTTTGACAACTTTGATGGGCGATGATTCATCGCATCTATACTATCATTTGGGGCTCTAGCTCTCTTTGGCAAACCTGAAGTGGGAATTGTTTTATTGAGCGAAGCAGAATTGTTAGCAACAATCTGGGTTTCAAGACAACCCTTAATAATGTTGTCCAGAGGAGTAGACAATGCCGAAGAGCTTGGTGCCAATGAAGGCTGGAATGCAGCAGATTGAACAATCCCTGCTTGAGGTAACATTTGAGGAGTAACCAATCCCAGCATTAGTTGTGCCTGGAAGATTGCTTTAGGTAAGTTAGGAATTGTATGTAATATTTGGCGAGCTTGTTCCTTGTTTTGTGTTGCTATAGCCTTCATATCAGAAATAATTTCATACAGCTCACTCCTTGACATTTTGGAAAGATAAAGTGACAAAGGATCAATTGGGTGATTATGTAAACTTGAATCCATTTGAGCAGCTCCAAGAGCTCCAGCCATGGCAGTAGCAGCAGTGGTAGCTACTGCATGTCCAATTGGCTCATGTCCACCACGGCCTTCTTCACGATTCTTGTCAGAAATTTTATGATTCTCAGCAAAATCAACTTTTAATTGGCGACCATTGATCTCATATCCCTGGAGATTACGGCGAGCACTCAGGGCAGTTTCTTCATCATTGTATTCACAGAATCCATAACCCTTGGGCTTTCCAGTTTCTCTGTCAGTAACTAGCCTCAAGGAAACAACAGGGCCAATCTCCTCACAAATTTTAACTAGCTTCTCCTCAGTAGTATTATATGGCATATTCCCAACAAAAACACAGCGACGTTGAGAATCAGGATTGGCCATAAATACAATCAGAAATCAGAAGAAGCTAAACTGCAGATTCAATTTCATCCTTCCTCCCAATTATTCGTTTCCATTTAAGCCTCTCATCACTTTCCCACTCCAATTCGGATTTGGATTCGCAGAAGTCCCTTTTCACCTGGAACTATTATTGGCAATCGGAGGGCAATTGGTAAGTATTATTATTATTATTATGGGAAATTGTAATTTATGCCCCTCACAAATAGGTCAATTATCAATGTTATCCCTGAATTATTAGTGTTGTAAATGTTGCCCCTCAATTTTCAAAATGTGACATATATTGCCCCTCCTCTGAATTATTAGTGATGTAAATGTGGTTACCCGTCGTCTTTCTTGTTCGAAGATCACGTTTTTTTCCTCAATTTTTCTTTCTTCGATTGTTCTCATTCCTTCGACAACAATTTTTCTCCTTCTTCATATTAGGGGAGGGGCAATATATGTCACATTTTGAAAATTGAGGGGCAACATTTACACCACTGGTAATTCAGGAGTGACATTAATAATTGACATATTTGTAAGGGGCATAAATTACAATTTCCCCTTATTATTATTATTATCATTATTATCATTATCATTATCATTATTATTATTATTATTATTATTATTATTATTATTATTATTATTATACATATCTAATCTAAAGGCATAATAAGTCTCAATCATGATTATATCATTGATTTATGTCCATTTTCTATATGCTAATAAAAGTATACATTTTTCATTAAATGTTGTACACTTCAATTATAATGGACACAATTATTCGTACTACATTCTTGTTAGACAAAAGTATCCTGACACCGTTACTATTTCATTATAACTTTCATAACTCTATCATTATTATCATACACCTATACCTACGATCACTTTTTTCCTATTCGTTAATTATCATTTTATTAAAATCATTATATAATTACTTTAATTGTTGATTATATTTTAATTAATTTTTTATGAATGGTAAATCATGTGTGTGCATATATATAGGCACGCACATGCACTAAGATATGTGACCGGGTACTAGATTAGTATTATATATATTTTATTTATTTATTGTAAAAACAAAGTATAAATTATATCAAAATTGTTTACATTATTAATAAACAAATTATACATTTTGTTCATTTCTATAGTTTCCAAATACGATGATTAAAATTTACTACTTTAAGGAATTGCGAAATATAATTTGAACTATAACTTGTAATTTTTTACATTTATCAATTTTTTTAATGTTGGGCATACATGCAAAACATTTTTTTAATATTATAATAATTAGTAACTTCAACTCCTCAAGTCTTCAAACTTCAACTCTAAGTCGTAAGTCCCATTGATATTTTAATAATCCTTATTTTTCAAATATTAACTATGCAGATGGATGATTCTTCATCTTTGTCATCAACAAAACACTTCAAGTGAAACTCCAAGTGAGCCAATTGAATAATCGGGCAGGCAAAAAAATAATCGGGCAGGCAAAAAATGAAACGTTCAAATAGTGAATTTCTACCAAAACCGAACCGAACTATATTTGTTAAACCGAATGGTTTAATTTTTTAAAAATCAAAAAACCGAAATCGAAAAAGTCGAACTGAAACTCGAAACGTCCACCCCTACATATAGATATGATTTTATAGACCTGCACGGGCTTAGCTCAATGGTTTATGGCAGTATTTGAGATAAGAGACTAATGTTTGAACCCCAGCTACGGCAATGTGAAAATTATGTTCAAAGTGGACAGATTCTTGTGCGGTGATTTACATCATTCCACATGCTCCTTTAAGGTTGGGATTCAACTTTAAATATAAAATTGACAACATTTCACCGTTAATTTGACCGAAAGCAACCCCCTTAACCCTACATATAAAAAGATTTCCGGCGGCATAGGAACTGATAGGCGGCCCGTTTTTACCAGCATCAAAATCGATCAATAACCCAAAAAGCTGTACTCGTAATTACCAATCTAGCTTGATTGAATTTGCAGATCGATGGAAGATCAAACACAGATGATCGCTTGCAGATCGATGGAAGATCAAACACAGATGAACCCTTCAGCTTCTATAGTTTGTCTTCCGCGAGAGATACTTGTCAAAATTCTCACCGGTCTCCCCGCAAAATCTGTAGTACGATTGAGATGCAGTTGTAAATTCTTGTATTCTTACCTACCGGAGCCAACACGCTTGGCGTTCAGAATCATCTTCGTATTACCATCCCGTAAACGTCGCCCATTAAGATTATACTCCGTGAGTTACAGTGAAGAAAGCCACGGTCGGCTCCTCCAAGCCGAGAGTGCCCAACAATTAGATTCGCGAGGTTTTGTATGGTTGGCCGGTTCGGGTTGTGGCGATGGGAAGATGTGTATGGTCCACGAGGTAACTGGAGCCGGCGCTCTCTTCGACCTTAGTACAGGGCGGCGTATTTCCCTGCCGCCCCACTGCGAGAGGTATTTCAGTAGCTGTGGGAGTATCATTGGCAATGGCGATATGGTCTGCTCTTATGCGGCCATGGGGGTTGACCCGGTTTCGGGGAGATACAAGGTTTTCAAGTCGACGCTCTACTATGATAGCAAGCTGTTTTCGAATCGGCAGTGGGTTTTTACTCTGGGAGTGGATAAGTCATGGAGGGAGATAAGACCCCTCTTCACTGGATACACCTATGCTGCCGTCCACATTCGTGGGATTATCTATTTCATACCTCAGATTTCTGACCAATCCCCATATATAGTCGCGATGGATGTTGCGAGAGAGAGGGTTCTGAGGGTCATACCGTTTCCACCTTGTTATCAGTCATGCCGCCCGCAGCGGAATTATGGGTGGGTGTCATGGATAAAGTTGAATGGTCGGCTAGCGTTCATTATCATGTTCATTCCTAGACAAGAAGGATGGCCCTCTTCAGAGTGCAAGATAGAGATATGGACGTTTGAGGTGGAGTGGGAGAAGCAGACGGTCCTTGTTCCATTGGAGGAGAGTGAGGCGTTTGATCAAGCTATTTCCATAGGGTTTGCTTCTAATAGTATGGGGGAGATTGTGTTCTTATTGTTTCTATGTGAGAGGATGTCTCCTTTGATTTTAGTTTATTCATTTAGAAGAGATGTTTGGAGAAGAGTTGAGATAGCTGGAGTTTCTAAGTATCCAAAAACGGGACGTGTTGTCACTGCTGTGCATATAGATGATGAGATTGCAGCATCTTTTTTGGAATGAATAATATTTTAGATTTTGTTTATCCTTAATAATTGGTAGAAGAGGGATGGAGTTAGTTGCTCCATGATTGTTGTATACCACATTTCTCACTTTTCTAAAGGGGTCATGGAAACCTTCCACTAATGTATTATGTACCAATGATTAAGAATGAGTGGAGACTAATTACTTTAAAAATTATTATTGCATAGTTATAACTATGTTATTAATAGTACTTCTAATTCATCCAGATTTCCTTAGTCAACCGCTTATTAAAGGCAAAATATTACCCTACGACGGGGTTCATGGACGCACAAATAGGGCAGAATCCCAGCTTTTGCCGGAAGAAGAGCTTTACAATTGGGCGTTGCTCGCCGAATCGGTGATGGCCGCGACACAAGGATATGGGGATGGGACTGGCTTGGAGGGATGGGACTGGCTTGGAGGTCCTTCAAATATACAATTACATACCCCGTGTGTGGAGCAGCTACGCGAGGCCAAGGTGCATAGCCGCCTTTTAAACGATGATGGGGGCCCTTTGGGGGGGCCTTTTTGAACGATGCTGGGGTGGGACGTTGATATTCTCAGAGATATTTTTCTTGTGGAAGATGTACCCAGGATTTTAGTGACCCCGGTGAGTAACCAGTTTCGTGAAAGTTGGCGTTGGATAGGAGACATTCGCGGTTGCTACACGGTCTTACATGGTTATCGTTGGCGTTGGATAGGAGACATTCGCGGTTGCTACACGGTCTTACATGGTTATCGTTTGTTAGTAGGTGAGGCGACTCTATACGGTGTCACTCACGGATGGTGAGGCGACTCTATACGGTGTCACTCACGGATTTCTTGCGTGGAAGGCGTTATGGGCATTGTCAATCCCTCCAAAGGTAAAAAACTTTTTATGGCGTTGTGCTCGTAGCATTCTGCCGGTTCGAGATATTCTGTGTACAAAGAGAGTTTGGATAGGTGGGGGTTGCCCGATGTGCCGTTTTGTCTCGGAAACAATAGAACATCTCTTTTATGGCTATGCTTTTGCGGAACAGGTCTGGGATGCAGAGAATGTGTTGCGGGGAAGAGATATACTTAGCTATATGTCTTAGGTGATCGGTGGTTCATCGGTGGACGAAGTGGTGCGTCTGGCAGCAGGACTCTGGACCATATGGCTGATGCACAATGATGTTGTGTGGCATAATAAGCAGCCATCAGAATGATGTTGTGTGGCATAATAAGCAGCCATCAGCTGAGGTGGCCCGTGAGCAATTGTTGCGGCTGCAAACTGGTTGGAAAGATGCATATACTGCCCAGACTACTGCCACAACCCAGACTGCCAACTGGTCTCCGCCTCCAAGACGGCAAGACATACTATCAAATGCAATGTTGACGCTGCACTGTCCGGGGATGGCGCTAGCTTTGGTGCGGGATTCCGAGGGTCGTTTTGTTGCGGCTAAAAGCGGGCGTTTGGATGATGTAGATGACCTTTATATGGCGGAGGTTCTTGGAGTCAAGGAAGCATTGTTATGGCTTAAATCGCAATACCGTAGTAATATCATTCTTGAATCTGATTGTTTAAACTTTTGTAATGCGTTTAATTCTTGTAGTTCCGATTTTTCGTATGTTGGTTTAGTAGTGAAGCAATGCCTATCGATTGCTAGTGACATGGAGAATGTTAGTGTCTCCCATATCAAAAGGTCAGCGAATCGTGTGGCTCATGAGTTAGTTCGGGCGACCGTTTCTATGTCTGTCTCAGGGGTGTGGACTGATATCCCACAATCTTGTATCGTGCATTATTTAAGTCAGTAATGGAAGTCTTTGACGTTTTGCTCAAAAAAAAAATAGTACTTCTATTACGAAATAACTATGTTAATTATAATATTGATGAATCCATCATTATTATCATATAGACATACATCTATCTATCATATATTTTTTTTCTTCATATTTTGTAATTATTATATAATTAATATAATTGTAAGTTATGTTTTAATTAAATTTTTATAAATGGTAAATCATGTGTCTGTATAATACACATATTATTTGTGTGTGTGTGTGTGTGTATATATATATATATATATATATATATATATATATATATATATATATATATATATATATATATATACACCAAAATATGTGGATATTAATAAATTAGGGTGTTTGGTTCGCACATGGGAATCAAAATGGGTATCAAATAATACTTGGTAATTGTAATGAGTTTTGGTGAAAGTATTTTGCATGTTTGGCAATAGGGTGAAATGTTAATGATTATCAATAATGTTGTTTGGTTATGTATGATCCTATAAGGAATAAAGATTTTAAAAATACAATAACACAAAATCAAGACAATTTATTCTAATATAAAGACATCTGATGGGGATTATACCCTGCACGTACGGTGACCTACGGTCGGGCAGTGCGGGGTGAAGAACGCTCGACAAGTCATTTACCCGATCATCGATGTGCCGATTGTTACCCGGTCAGATGGTCTCCAGTGCTCTGCACGGCGGCCGACCTCCGGGTCTGGACATGGACCAGCTGGCTAGGCCGGGTATCTCCGCGGGTCATTTTGGCCAGGGTGAAGGATCAGGTATCGTCAGAAATCGCTTGCCACATGTGCGGCTGCATGCTTGCCCTCGCGACACCCGGTGCATGGGCACCATGCACGTGCCGATCATGCCGGTAGGTCGGTCGCTGCTCCCTAGGCTCTCTATATATACCTCATTTATTACCTGAGAGAGGACTTTTCACCTACAAGGACATTGTAATTAAGAGCTTCCCGGTCACGTTACACGACCAGTCAACCTACTATTGTATCATACGATTACGGTGATTTTATACCCATCAACATCCAAAGCACCAATATGAACAAAAAAAATAAAAACAAAAATCTAAAAGCATCCAGAGCACCAATATAAACAACAAAAATCTAAAAGCGCCATAGTTGGAGAGACGATAGTTAGGGAAGCGGCTGACAAGGAATAAGGGAATGAAAGTGGATAATACCCTTATGGCCCGTTTGGTTCACGGAATAGGCCTGGAATGGCATAGCATTCCCAGTAATAGGCATATTCCTTTGTTTGGTAACAGTTTCTATTACCGGGAATAATATTCCCGGCAATTTCCCATTCCCCCAGATAAGGTAATATCTATTACCAGGGCCCCCCCTGGTATTAGGCTATTACTGAGTTATCAGGAATAACTTAAAATTTCTACTTCCTATTTTACCCTCCGTCACCACCACCAGCACCACCACCCCACCACCATCATCGCTACCAGCACCGCCGCCGCCACCACCACCATCATCATCGCTACCAGCACCGCCGCCGCCACCAACACCACCAGCACCACCAACACCAGCAGCACCGCCAGCACCGCCACCACCGTCGCTACCACCATCACCACCACCGCCGCTACCACTACCACCACCACCACCAGCACCACCGCCGCCGCCGCCACCGCCGCCATCGGCACCGACACCGGCACCACAGCCGCTACGGCCGCCGCCGCCGCCACCACCACCACCACCACCACCATCGGCACCGACACCGGCACTACAACCGCTACCACCGCCGCCGCCGCCACCATCGCCACCACCGCCACCGCCACCATCGCCGTCGCCGCTACCATCGACACCACCACATATTTTTATAAGGGTATTTATGTCTTTTAAAACATATTTCATTTCTATTCCTTAAACCAACCAAACACGGTAATATAATTTCTAAAGTCTATTCCTTCCACGAACCAAACAATAGAATACAATTCTTATTCTATTCCTTGCCTATTCCATTCCTTATGGAATAACATTCCTATTACCTCAAAATTCATTCCGTGAACCAAACGTGCTGTTATTTTATTTGGGTAGTGAGTTTTTCAATTAAGGGGTATTTGAAATACATATTAGTGTTCTAAAAACCTATCAACCAAACAATACCAATCACTTTGATACTCATTTTTTTAATACTACTGACTCTATTGTAATGCAGTATCTGTTCATAACTATTTTTTTTTAAGCACAACAAGCCAATATCGCCTTCACTGAGGCTCGATCCAACTTGGTGTCATTGGACTACAAGATCCTTGGCACTTTAATACTCATTCCTTATAGATAAACCTGTCAACCAAACACACCGTCATTGATATTTTATTTATTTATTATTTTATAAATCTACTATACTAATAAGAGCCCAAGAGAGTTAGGCCTGTAATGGGTAGAAAAAGTAGCGGTCAAATTTTAATCAAATGAATGGCTCAGATTGATCAGATTTTAATTTTTCCTTAAGATTTCCTAATTTATCCTTAATGAATATGATTATCCGTTAACTTTTCCGTTAAATATTATCTTTTCCGTTAATTTCTGTTAGTTCACTGTTAATTTACTCATTGATTTCAATAAGAAAGGTCTTAGGTTCGAACCCCATCCCAATCAAAGTTGACATAATTAGTACTCTATTTTACTCTTATTAAATTTAGTACTCTATTTTACTCTTATTAAATTAAAATAAATAAAATAAATAATTTAGTAGCTACAACACAAAATAATACATATGCATTTCTTTAATATAGAATTATGTGTCTACAATGTCTTTATTAAAAAAAAATTATTCATTATCAATAAATTAAATAAGATAAATAAATCTTCAAAAAAAAAAATAAGATAAATAATTCCCTTAGTTATATTGTCTTTATTTTTCTCCAATATAAAAATTCTTTACATTCAAATTCATCAATTGATTATATTCGCTACATTGTCCCTACAATGTCTTTATTAAAAAAAAAAATTTATTCATTATCAATAAATTAATTAAAAGAAATAATTTTATTAGTTATATTGTCTTTATTTTTCTCCAATGTAAAAATTCTTTTCATTCAAATTCATCAATTAATTATATTCACTACATTGTCTATTATCTTTTTTTGTGCACTATTTTTTAAATTAAATATCAAAATTATAATACAAAATAATGTTATATATTTATTTACCAAGTATTTTATTAATACCATGAACATTTTTAAAAAATATAATT